AAAAAACTGAAATATTTCATTTCATACTTACAACTCCAGCTTTACTTTTTATAATACCAAGACAACAAAAATGTACATCAGCACCACGAAATGCTTCAGTATATTCATCAATTTTATCGAAATCTATTTCACGTAGTTCCTAAATGAAAATAAAAGAAGAAATTAAAAAAAAATATATATGAGATATAAATGTTCTTATAAAATAAATTACAATTCTTTCAAATTAATATTAATAAAATAGAAAATCAATTGTTTTTCGAATTTAAAAAAAAAAAATTTTTTTTTGGATATTTGTAAGAAATTTAGTTTACATTTTATTCAGATTTTCTCTTTCGAAAGAGCAATGTAAAACTTCGGAAAACATAATACATAAAAGAATAATTCAAAAGTTTCATTAATATTTCTTGTACTAAGAATTTAATTGTTAAATGTTTTAGATATTTATCTATGACTGACATTGTTATCAGTTCTTTACCTTTTATAGAATAAAATTTTTTTTGGATATGAAAATTCAAATCTGTTTCTATGTTAATTTGATACAAAACTCATTTCTCTATAAAATATGATTCTCTATTTTCTTTATCTATCTAACAGTTCCTGAAAGAATATGTTGATGCAAATCAAGTTTGAAAAGCAATGTATTTTTAAGCATTATTAATCAGTAGACGAAGACTTCAATCTGATAAAAATATTTTTGTTTTTCAATATATTATGCAAAAGTAATACAATATTTTTCAAGCTATATCCTTTCTGTAAAACATTGATTAGCATGCAATTAGATATAAAATTTAATTCAAAATAAAATGCTTTAAATGTTCATATTTTCGCTTTCTTTTTGATTTCAAAAAATATGAAAAATCATATCGATACATGTGAAAGGAACTTTTTTCAAAATACTTTCATATAAATATGATTATCTTTTAGTCTAGAAATATATCGAAAATTTGACATGAAAAACTAAAGCTTCGTATCCGAATTTAGAGAATTATTTAAAAAAACAAAAAGAAAGTGAGATTTCCGAAAAGCTCAAATTTATCAATTTAAGCTTTAGCTCATCTCTGCTTTCATTATATTCTTCTATTATCGAATTCAAACGAGAGTTGTAATGCAACTTCATGATGAAATAAAACTTCTTCATAAAATTCTCTTTGAAATTCTTTTTTTTTTCACAACCAAAAGTCGTATAGAAAATTCAAATATTTTTTTTTCTCTTCAATTAACAAATTTATAAAGATTTATTTTAATACAATACCGTTTTTTCTACGTATTAATTATCAATATAATCAATTTTTCGGAGTAGATGCCAAATTCGAGTTCGAATATAAATGAAAAAAAACCGATTTCATCCTAAAACAGCAAAAAAGCAAAAGATAAATGTTATACAAAATATAACTTATAAATTCGAAGGCACTTATACTAAAATAGCAAAAAAGCAAAAGA